AAAAAAAAAAAAAAAAAAAACAAGGGGACCAGTTGCAGAGGCAGACTATATAAATACTATTATTAAATAACTGGTGTTACTTATGCAATGCCGTGGTGGTTATACCAGTTATTATTTTTGTTGATGACCAAAACAAAGTGATTAGTTTCAACAGATAAAATATAAAAAAGCAGACGATTACTAGTTTTTTAGACATCAAGTTATTCTCTTAACTCTCAAACATAAGAGTGACTAATAAAAGAAATCAATATTAAAATGTAATCAGTCCCAACCACTAGCACTGGTCACATTAGTAATGTTGAGCCTGAGAATCAGGGCTAAATCTTTGTATTTACTTGAATTCCCTATGGCAAAAGACAAAAATAATCTTAGTCCAACCAAATAAATAACATTAGTCATAAATGATCATATAGTTTAAGTTATTGACTTTTGCAACAACTATTTAAAAGTTTTTTATATAATATTTTATAATTAATTGATAAATAAATATACTGATTGTAGGAAAGTAATACCAAAGTTGAGCAACAAATGTATTTGAGCTACCTCACTCATGGTAGGTCGCCAAGTTGAAGATGCCCTTATACACAAGGAGGCAGCAAAGGCAAGTCTATTAAACTGTGTCACATCATAAGCCCCTCCAAGCCTTGGATCTACCACTTTTTCTATCTCCCCTTTGTGTAGTATTGGTTTAGCCTGTGAATTCATAACACATACTTATTTGCCCCGAAAACGTTTTTATAAAATAATCAATGTAGTCACCAATAAGTTCTTAAAATAAAAAAAGTTTCAATCATCATCAAAGGTGGGGATACTACCCAGCTGTGCAAGCTTTGGTGAGATCCATCCACTGGCTTCCTCCCAGAGATGACTTCAAGCAAAAACACACCAAAGGCAAATACATCTGTCTTCTCATCCACAACTCCATGCATGTAGTACTCAGGTGCCAAATGCCTACAGTAAAAAAGGATAACACATTCCCATTGAAAAGCCACTACTATATTGATATGATAGTGTTTATAAAGTAGGTTTGCATATAACTCAATCTTATAAAATCAATTTTTTAAAATGATATAAGAATTATTTAGATATCATTTTAACAAAGTGAGTTTAAGTTTAATTCAACCTCACAAAATTAGTTTATAAGGTGAGAATTGTCTCTCATTTCTATAATTTGATTTTAGCTATTTCTTCAGTTGATGTTGAAGGGTTTATCCCAATCAATCAATCACCGAAGGAAACCAGAAAAGAAGGTACCCAAATGTCCCTTCTATTGGGGCTATTGAATGATGAGTCCATTGAGATGGAAGCCACCTTGCTAGTCCAAAATCAGATATCTGTCACAATTAAATACAAAATAATTAAATAAACCCATCAAAATCACTATGGTTGAGACATAGATTCGACAAATGGAGGCAATTAGAGTACAAAATAAAGAACCTTGGGTTCAAAATCTTCTGTCAACAAAATGTTTGAGGACTTGATGTCCCTATGAATTATCCTCCTCTTGCAGCCTTTGTGCAAGTAGTGAAGGCCACGTGCAGTCCCAAGAGCTATCTTATACCTTGTTTTCCAATCCAAGGGAGGCAACTTCTCATCTACAAGGAACATTCACAAACTATTATATTTATCAAGACCCTTTATTCTTTTTTCTCTCTTTTGTTTTTGATCATTTTAATCCATGTACCATGAATAAGAGAAGCAACAGAACCAACGGTGGATAGCTCGAAAACGAGGTAAAGTCCATTGTCAATACAACACCCCAGAAGAGGCAACACGTTGGAATGGCGCACGTGGCCAATTGTTCCAATCTCTATCAGAAACTCTTTCTCCTTCCTCTCATCCCTTGAAATTCTCGTAAGCCTCTTCACCGCAATTTCCTCACCACCATCCAACGTTCCCTTGTAAACCTCTGCATACCCTCCTCTCCCAACCACATTCTCTACACAATAAGAAA